AGGGCAGCGAGGATGGCTGGCTTGTTCCCCACCGTGTCTTTAGACCTGGAACCGTGTCTGGCATATAGTAGAGGATCCACAGTATTGTTGAATGAGTCAGTTTTGTTCAGTCTCTAAAAAGATACGTACTGTGTAAATACAGGCTCCATATTTAGGAGTGCAGTGCTGCTTTGTGACCGCTCGGAAAAGGTGCACACACAGTGTCAACTGGCACAGTCCTTCTCGAAAACAATTTGGCGTTAAAAATATGTCCATATGTGTGTTTTAAAAACAGCTTTATTGAAACCATTTGTATGCCGTGAAGTACATTTAAAATATACTATTGAATGATCTTTTAGTATATTTACGGAGTTGTGCCATCATGGCCTGGTATCTCATGTGATGTTGGTTTCTATTTCCCTAACGACTAATGATGTTGAACATTTTTACTTGTGTTTTTATAGCCATTTGGGTACAGTTGGCCCTTGAACAACACAGGGCTGGTGGTGCGGTGTCCCGCTCAGTGGAAAATCCACGTGTAACTTTTGATTCCCCCACAACTTGACTACTAGCCTACTGTTAACTGAAAGTCTTACTCAGAAACAGTCAGTTAACACATATTTCATGTGTCATATGTACGTACTATATTCTCACTGTAAAAGTAAGCTAGAGAAAAGAAAATGCTATTAAGGAAATCACAAGGAGGAGAAAATACATTGACGCCACTGTCCGGTATTTATTGAGAAACGTGTGTGTATAGGTGGACCCGTGCCGTTGCCCTCGTGTTGTTCCGGGGCCCACTGCATTTTCACATCCTTTGCCCCTTAAAAGTATGTGAACGTGTTTTGACCCAGCAGTTCTACTTCTTGTTATGGTAGAGAAAGTCCGGTGCATGTGCACCTGGAGACCTGTATGAGGACAGTCATAAAGCCTTGTCTGTGAAAGGAGCAACTTGGAAACAAATTGATTTACCGTCAGGGGACCAGGTCAGTGCACGTCCTTTCAAGAGTGAATTTCAGACTGTGACCATTGGCAGCTCATGAAATTCAATTCAGTAGGTTGCAATGAGAATTCAAAAAAACCAGAATAGCACAGAATAGAAAGCAGTTCAAGAATTAAGGGCAGTAAATTTCCTTCTGTGGGTTGTGGTCAGTAAAGTTTGAGAAACGTTGCTGTGGAATGCTTGTGGGAGTTACAGACACGACGGAGATGTGTTCGTACTGTCGTGGAAACACCTGCAGGACACGGTAAGTGAAGAGAGGATGCCCCAGAATAGTGTGTACAGTTTGATTGCATTTGTTTTGTTTTTAAGCCACAAAATAAAACTCTGTCCCCAGGGACGCCCGGGTGGCTCAGCGGTTGAGCATCTGCCTTCAGCCCAGGGCGTGATCCTGGAGACCCGGGATCGAGTCCCGCATCGGGCCCCCCGCAGGGAGCCTGCTTCTCCCTCTGCCTGTGTCTCTGCCTCTCTCTCTGGGCCTCCCAAGAATAAACAAACAAACAAACAAACAAACAACAAACCCTGTGTCCCTGTATCTGTAAATAGAAGGAAGCCTGGAGGACAGCTGTCTTGCTGACAACAGGTTGCCTCTTGGGGGGCTAGATGGGAGTGAGGAATGCCCGAGAACTTTAGGCTTGTCTGTATTTTTTCCCTCCCACTCCGCTCACCCGTTTGCCCCTTCCTGCTGCCCTGCCCTCTGGCAGCCGCCACTTCGGCCTCTGTGCTTAGGAGTCTGTTTCAGCTTTTTGGTTTATTTGTTTTGTTTTTTAGATTCTCTGTATAAGTGAAATCATACGGTGTTGGTCTTTGACTTCAGGGCCCGCTGGGCCCACGTGCAGGGTCGGGAAGGGCAGGATCCCTGTCGTCCGCGGCCCCCGCCTCCTTCATCCGTCCGTCCGCCTTCGCCTGTCGCCAGCCCCTTGGGTCGCTCCCTCCTGGCCGTTGCACACGACGCTGCGGGAGGACGTGCGGGTCTTTGCAAGCGCGTGTTCTCACCTTGCTAAGCGCCGGGCCGGGGACTTCCCGCACCACGTGGCTCCGCGTCCGCTTCCCGGGCGAGGCCGAGCTGCTCCCACAGCGGCCTGCGCTCGAGGCTCCCTCTCCCCACGTCCTGGCCCACACTTGCTAGTTTCTTGTCTTTTTGATCCTGGACGCTCTGACAGGTGCGAGCGGGGTGGGATGTCCCCGGGCTTCTGATCTGCGGTCCGCGGACAGGGAGTGACGCGCAGCAGCTCTCCGTGCGCCCGCTGGCCGCTGGTGTGTCTTCTTCTGCCTGCACTTTTTGTGTTCACACGTTTCTTCTCCAAGGGCAGGTCACAGAGACTGAGGGATGAATCCTTGGAAGGCAGGCAGCAGCGCACCTGGCGCAACGGTTTCCTGAGTGTGCCGCCCGGTTCCCCGCGGCCCTCCAGGCCTCACCGGGTCTCGGGTCTCGGGTGGGGCCGGCAGCGGGAGGTGTGGGCCCCGTGGGCGGGGCTAGAGCAGGACGGGTGGGTGCGCGCTGCGGGCGACCGTCCCTCCACCTGCCCCCCGACAGTCCCCAGCAGCCCCGGCCAGCGGCTCCGGGCCCGTCGCGGGAACCCTCTGCCGCGGTTCATTCGGACCTTACCGCGGCCCCCACGGGGAGGGTGTCGGGCCCAGGGTCGTGGGGTTGCAGTCAGGCCAGCTTGGGTCTTTCAGCTTACTGACTTTTCTGAGCTTCTCTTTTCCTTCTTTAAAAAAAAAAAAGCAACAGTTAAAAGCCGCCAGCCGCTGCCGGGGGGCCGCGGTGAGGCTGGCGCGGGGGGCGCCGGTCCCGAGTGGGGGGGCACGATCGCCGCGGGGCCCCTACAGGGAGCTTGGTAGGATTATGCCGTATTTGGCACGTGAGGAAACCAGTGCTGACTCTGTGCCACGTTCGCAAGGAGCTTTGGGTGGCCCTGCCCAGGCCAGCGAGTGAATGGACCCTGGGAAACCTGGATTCTGGGCTCTGCTTTGCTGGGGACCCCCTTGCGATTTTGAGCAAAGAGGTTCCTTCCTCTTCGTGTCCCCGGGGCACTGACCCCGTGGTAAACTGTACCGCAGCCCTCTCTGCTTTTGCTGCGTCGTTTTGATTTCAGGGGACTTCACGAAGCCCCAGCCTCAGTCCTGAGGCCAAGAGTGAAGGACCCGAGTGGGAAGAGGCAGCTGGGGGCGGGGACCGACGGGAAAGTGCAGATGACAGAGACTCCCAGCATTTGAAGATGGGTGGGGAAAGCCCAGTGGAAACCTGGCAGGAACCAGGCAGGAACTTCTGCGTTAAACAGTGGTTTCTTGTAACACATGAGATGTCAAATGTCATTTTTTTCAGACTTCATTGTTTGCCCGTTGGAAACTTGTCGAAGACCAAATTCTTTGGCTCTGCCTGCCGTGTAGTCTTCACTGTGGTTGATTCTGGCTTGCGACACTGACGGGCCCTTTCAGCCAATGGTAGAAGGTTCGTGGCCGTGGCGGAGAGGCCCCCACGTGGGGAATGTGCAGACCCGACCCGACGGCCGCCTAGGCCTGACCGCTACGCTGCTGTGTGACGGTGGCCTCTGGGCTACCGACCGCAAAAGGTGGTGGCTGAGCTTGATTTCGATTTTTAATATTCAGTTTAGAGGGTGGAGTTTGTTCTTCCTTTGATGGTTATTGGAGGAAATGAAAAAACACAGAGAATTAAAAGGGAGGAAAACCTCTCTCATTTTCCTACACGTGATGACGTTAAACATTTGTTTTTTTATGGATGCGCAGCCCGCCTAGTGTCCGGGGGGGATTTGAGGTGATGGGAGTATACAAGTTGTGGCTTTTTCCTAGTTGGGGGCACGTCCTCCTGAAGTTGTTTTTGGTCATCTTTATAGCAGGCGCGTATCATGTAACCGTTCTCTTGATGTTGGAACCTTACCATGGATTTTTTGCTTGGTTCTGAGGGTGCAGCTCCTTTCCCGACTCTAGAATTTGGCAGTTGGGGAGAATTGTCCCGGGGACCGAATGGACTTGGGTTCACAAAGCTGGGGAGAGCCAGCTGACGGGAAGTCCAGCTCTCAGCTTGGAGCTTGGGGCGGGGAAGCACTCTTGGAGGGTAGACGGAAAAGGCGTGGTTCTGGGCGCGGTGGTCCGCTCGGCGGCCTGGCGCCCGGGCCGGCCGCTGACATGATCCGTGCCCTGGCGCCTCCCTTAGAATGCACAGGCCCTTCGGGGCAGCGCAGCTCTCACGGTGGGGGATCTTTCACGCCTGCGCCGAGCACGGCGTCTCTCCTGGTGGCAGGGATATTTTGCGGCCGTCGACGGAGTGCCCGCGGTGTGCCAGGCACCTTGCCGGGGACTTTGTGTCTGTGGTGGCAGTCACTTCCCGAGTGGCCGCTGTGCTCCTTCCGCGGATGAAGGAGGCTCGGCTCGGGGAGGTACCTGGCTTAGGCTAGATCCGGTGTCGTGTCTTCTGTGTCAGCCACGCCTCCGGTTACGGTCTAGTTTTCTGTCAGCGTCTCCAGATCCTCACTCAACCTATGTTTATGATTCAGCCAGCAAAGTCTCTTGGATCAGTGGATTTTGCATTTTCGTGGGACATTCTTAAAGTGTCTGAATTGGTGCCTGCTTCTTGGGAGCTTTATTTTTGGTCGTGTCCGACACGTTAGTGACGACGACGAATAGTAAAGACCGAAGCAATGGTCCCCACTGCCTGGGCGCACCCTGCGTGCACGTGCCGTAGACGTGAGCTCATCTTTACAGGTCGAGGGAGGAACAGGGAAAGGGAGACTCAGGAGCGTCCGCAGCCGGTAGTTGGCGCAGGCCTCTGCTTCCAGCACGTACTAGGCGGTACACGGATGCGACGTGGGTGCGAGTGGGCGGGCGGGCAGGCGGGCATCCTGGGACTCGCTGAAGCTCGCTCGGCCCGCAAGGTTGGAGCCCAGGGTCCGAGCTCTTGCCCCTGCACTGCGTGTGCGTCGTCGCCCGTGCAGCCCAGCGGCCCCCAGTCCGTGGGCCCGACGCTGACGCTTCTCTTCCTGCTCGTGCTCTCTCCTAGTGGCCTCGCCTGCAGCTCACCAGACGAGGGGGACGGCATCGGCCCCGGAGCCGGCTTGGGAGACGCTGGTAAGTGCACGACGCCGGCCTTCTCCTCGCAGGCCGGGCCTCCAGCTGGGGCTGGGCCTTGAGGTCCCCTGCCCGCCGCGCGGCTGCTCCCACTTCCCCAGCCCCGCTGGGGATTGAGGCCCCCGGGGCAGCTTTCCTGGGCTCTGCTCCCCGCTGCCGGGCTCGGAGGGGTTCAGCCAGCGTTCGCCGAGCGGGGCGGGGCGCCTGGGGGAGCCTCCCGGCGGCTGGGGGCCCAGCACGTTCCTGCGCGGGCCGCCGGGGACACAGGTAGCTGCTCAGGCCGCGGGACTCGCGCTGAGTGCATAAGCGGGCCATTGTGTTGAGGCGGGATTAGAGGAGACTGTCGGGGGGCAGCTTGGCTTTTGCGGAGCGTCCTTTATGACTTCTGTTTCTGAAAGAAGCCAGCGCTGTCCTAAGTACCTTGGGACGTGCTCGTAATTTGCCTTGTCACATACCTTAGAGATACTGGGACTTGTGTGTTTTCCCCTCTTCCTCAAAGTGAGGATCCGGCAGGAGGGAGAAGTTTGTAGAACAGACAGTATCAGGGTCGTGCGGTTTATTTCTGGAGAATATCTTAACTTACCGGCCCCCTCAGGTTTTCCTTCAGAACCTGGTAACTTCTGCGTTGCACACGGGATCACGCGGTGTCTGTTGTCCCTGCACGCGGGCAGGTAGGCGTGGAAAACCGCCAGGACTGCTTTCTGCGTGAGCCCATAGCGCAGTGCTTTGTGCCAAGCCCTGGGCTAAGTGCTGGGAATCAGCCTTGAACACGGTTACGGCCAGGCCTGGAATAGAGAGTCCAGCACAGAAATGTCCTGGTGAATCATATGATCAACGTGATGATCTCCCAGGTGCTGGGAGGTTGGGGTGCGGGGGAGGTGTGTCCTGGCGCAGAGGAGGTGGGCGGGGCAAGAGTTTAAGACAGTGATATGGAGCTAAGACTTGGGGAATGAGTGGGACCTAGGTGGGGAGGGAGGGGAGTAGGAAGGGAGAGGGGCATAGGGAGGGAGGCAGGGGTGTAGGAAGGGAGGCTGGGGCGTAGGGAGGGAAGGAGGCAGGCACAGAGGCGGAGCAGGGCCCATCTGAGGACTGGGGAAGAGCGGGTGTGCCCTTTGTCTGCTAGCGGGGCCCTAAGGGTGGGCCCCCGTCCCCCCCGCCGCTTCTGTGCCCAGTGGTTCGGGACGCTGGGCCTAGCTCTGGGCCTTTGCTTTTGAAGTTCCTTCTTCGGTTGCCTTCCTCTGCCTGCTGCCTTGCTAACACGCAGGGCACCACCGGGCACCACCGTCTCCCGCCTCGCTCACATGTGCTTTCCTCTCTGAACCTCGCTAGTTTTCTGTTGCAGTTTGTTCCTGTTGGTGACATATGGCTTCCAGGGGCTTCCAGGGGCTTCCAGGGTCACACCACTTGTGCCCCGCCTACTTGACCACCTGCCCTGGGCCACCCATCCCCTGGTCCCCTCCTGGACTGCTGCAGTGTTCCCACTGCTGCCCTGCTTCCTGCAGCGCCTTCGGGCTGTTCTCTGCCTGTGGATGCCTGGGTGCAGGCACGTTACCCTTGCGGGGGGCCCTTGCGGCTCCCATCCTGAGATGAGCTCCCTCACGTACCTCCCCTCCTGTGGGCCACCTCCCCCCCCCCTCAACGCTGTCCAGTCCTGTCTCCCCGCCACCCCCCCCCCCGCCCTTCTGCCCGGGTGGCACTTCTTGGTGCGACCGTCCTGATTTGGCCCCTGACTTAAAATTGCGATCCTCACCCCACCCTGAATGTTTCCCGTCCTGCATCTCAGGTTCTCTCTGTAGCCCTTGCCACCTCCTCACATCCTGTGCGATTGTCCTGTTATCTTGCTCCTTGTCTGTCTTCTCTCTCTGGAATATGAGCTCCGTGTGTTTCCTGATGTCGCCGCCGAGCAGAGCGTGGGCCCTCCGCGCGTGTTTGCTGGAAGGAGGAGTCCCTGCATTTCCTCTGTGTGGGGCCGCCGCGCTCCGCGACAGCACGGGGCAGCCTGCGCAGCGTGGTGTCAGGTGGCTCACTCTGTGTCTGAGCCCCAGATCCAGAGCCTCTTGGTGCAGGGTCACGGTCCCTTTCCCCGTTCTCTCCCCCGCACCTCGCGTGGTGCTGGGCTCCGAGTGGCTGCCTGGTGGCTGCTGGAAGGGAGGAGGGAGCAGTGGAGAGCTCTGGGCGTTGGCCAAGTCCATAGTCGCCCTCAAGCAGGGACGAGGACTTCCCGCCTGCTGCCTGCTTTTGAAAATCATAAACTTTTACGGGGACACAGCTTCTTACTTCTGAGTTGTCTGTGGCTGTTTTTCGTGCTGCAGCAGAAGAGCTGACGAGTTGTGACAGATTTTAGGCTTGGATAGGGCCCACAGAGCCTAAAATATTTCTTGTCTGGCACTTTAAGAAAAAGTTTGCCAACCCCGGCCAGTTAGATATGCTTCACACGCTGACACGCGCAGACGTGTCCTGCTCAGCAAGTGACTATGTGACCAGGCCAGGGACGTACGTTACCCGCACACGCGGCGGTGCCACTCGCCCAGTGCGTTTTCTGGGTTCGTTCTGTGACACGTTACACTGAGGCCACTTGAAGGAATCTGTACATATTTGAAATACAGTAGCTGAGAGCTTTCCCTAGACTCCAGTCAGCAAATCACAACAGGCACAAAATGCCAGCAGAATAGACCGCGAAAGCTGCTCCTGCCTTTTTTTTTTTTTTTTTCTTTTCCTTTTCCGGGCTGTACCCCCTAATAGGGGTGCTGGGCAGTTTGCATACCACGCTGTTTTCCTGTCTGTTTTCCCTTTTTATAGTGCTCCCAGACGTGTCAGAAGAAACGGTGTCTCCCACCAGAGCACGGAACATGAAGGACTTTGAAAACGTAAGTGGAGACACCAAATCCCCTTCCCTACCAGGTGCCGTGTGTGGCCGCCGTACCCCCAGGCCCGGGAGGCAGCCGTGTCTCTCGAGAGGCGTCGAGGCTGCCAGTCTGCCAGGCGATGCCAGGCGATGCCAGGCAGGGGCGTGCTCCACGGCCGCGCGGTAGCTGTGTGCTCGGCGCTGCTCGGCGTGGGGGAGTCTGGTGTATTTCTGGGGTCCCCAGCGTGGGGCTTCCCCGTAACCTAAGGCACGTTCTTAGTGGTCCCTGTTTAATCCTCACTGTACCCCCTTGAGCTGTTGTGTATTATCCCCGGTTTACAGATACGACCCCGTAAGCCTAGGAGGGACCATTCACAGCCACATAGTACTCGAGTGGCGGAGTCGGGATTCAAACCCATGTTTTTAAGGATTCCAGAACGTTATTCTTCCCGCCGCTTTGTGCCACTGCCTTGCCTTTGTAGGCTCCATCCTTGTTGCTGTTGCAGGAGACGTGAGCGGCCCGTACGCGGGGCTGTGAACCGAGCGTCCGAGGACGGGTTACGTGGTGATGGATTTGGCTTCCTCGCTCGTTGTCTTCCAGCAGTGTGTCTTTCATTTGTTAGCGGAGGGGGCTTGTTGTCAAGGAGCAGGGAAATAAGGTTATTTTCCCAATTCCAATTCTCCTTAACAAGTTACCTGTTCAGCGCTCTCATTTATCACGGGAAGAATTAGACCCTTCTCCATCTGTAGCCAAATGAAATCCATGGCATGCAAGACACAGGAGATATTTATCAGGGAGAGATGGAGGACGGAGAGAAGGACGTTCCACAGTGATGTCTCTCTCCCCCCAGTTGTCTTTACAGAACGGAGCGGTACTGTCTCCAGATTTAATTTAGAATACTCATTACTGCTAATAGTTATCTGCAAACCACCAGTGACCAATTGAAGAAATGACTTGTCAGATCTCTAATGGAAACAAGTAATTTCTGAGCTTTGAGTTGTTCTAATTTCAACTGAACAACTCGATCTATGCTGTGGGGTCTGGGGCCTCCAACAAATGAGATTTGATTATTCCACATCGTGTATAATTAAAACGTGCTCTGCTATTAAATGGCTGTTTCTGTTTTATCATAAGAGTAATAATAGCTGCTGTTTATTGAGCTCCTGCTCTGAGCTGGGCACTTGAAATGTTCAGCTCTTCACGCGCGTCACTTTAATAGAAAAGCAGCTCCGCAAGATACAGAGTTAATTTCTGAAGGGCGCAGTTCTTTTTTTTTTTTTTAATTTTTATGTTTTTTTTTTTAATTTTTATTTATTTATGATAGTCACAGAGAGAGAGGCAGAGACACAGGCAGAGGGAGAAGCAGGCTCCATGCACCGGGAGCCCGACGTGGGACTCGATCCTGGGTCTCCAGGATCGCGCCCTGGGCCAAAGGCAGCAGCCAAACCGCTGCGCCACCCTGGGATCCCGAAGGGCACAGTTCTGAATTTTGTTTCTAGATGGAGAAACTTAACAGAATCTCAGAATTCTGAGATAAAAGTTGCACCTCTTATCATCTGCCTTTTGAGCCGGGAGGACTCTCGGGCTGAGTCAAGCCCTGGTCGGTGTGGGTAGGAGACACCGAGGTGCAGGAAGTGACGGGTGGGGCTGCTCTCGGGGGCACCTGAGCCTGCTGGGGACCCTGGGCTCTGCAGCCGGGCCGCCCGGGGCTTGCTCCTCACGGGGCCCGCTCTGTCCTCTGTCTTTGCCACTAGCGACAGCAGTTGCTGCTGCTGGGGGCCAGGTGGGACCTGAAGGAGGGAAGGTGGGAGCACGAGTTCACGCTTCGTGCTCGCGGTCTCCCCTCCTCTCCGTTGTCATGTCCGCTGTCTTTTGTCTCCGCTGCCACGTGGTTCAGGGCGCCCTTCTCCGGATGGGCTCCCGATGACCTAAACACTGTTTTCTTCTTGAAGGCGAGAGGGAGCCTCCTATGCTGATCTGTTTTAGGATTTATGTTTTTTCTTTATGACTGTGGTCCTTCGGCTGCTGTTCGGTTTTTATGGCATTAATATTTTTTATTGTAGCATTTTCCAGAGCAAGTTCTGCTATTGAAATTGAAATGACCACAGTGTTCTCAGTGTCTCCCTTTCAAGTCTTTATGAGTCACTGAAGTGTTCCGTTTGGCCTGAGCCAGTAAGTGCACGATGTCTGTAGAGGCGGCCTGAACTTTCTGTGGGATGCTTACCGGAAATGCTCCTGGCGTCGGTAACGCTAATGTTACCGTCAGCGTGCATATTAGGGAAGGGCTAGAGTAACCTTTGATTTAAAGGGAGACTCACGATTCCTCTTAGGCTGGTCTCACGCTGGGAAACTGAACGTCAGGGTCTATTAGCTAAGGTCTAGCAAGACATCCGGTTTCTGGTTTGGCTCAGAATTCATCTGTTCAGTGATAAATATTTTCAAATCTATATGCCCTGTGCCTGGCCGGGGGCTAGGAAGTCCGTGGTAGATGGGGACCCGGTGAGTTTCCCTGGCGGGAGCCTCGCAGCCCAGTTGGGGAGATGGGTAGGAAGGCATTGCAGTGAGAGGTGAGGAGGGTGCTGGGGGCACAGAGGGGGGACGCAGGGAAGCCCCCCTGGAGGAGGTGTTCCTTGAGATGGGTCATCAGGGACAGGTGGGGGTTAGCCAAGGTGAGAGGACCAGGAGAGCATCCCAGGCACAGGGACTCAGGCGGGGAAGGGCCGCGGGAGGCGTGCAGGGTGCGGGCAGTTGAGGGCGTTCTAAGCTCCTTTTGGCTGGAGGGAGGCTGCGGCAGGGGTCCTGAGACCCGCGAGGCCCCTGAAGAAGGCAGGGGTCGAGGGTCCGCTGTGTTACACTGCCTTGGTTGACCCTTGTCTTGAAGATGAAGGGTGGCCGGTGGTGGACGTTAGCCTGGGAAGGAAAGGACCAGAATCGTGCTTCTAAAAAGAGCCCGGGATTGGTGGTGCGAGGAGGGAGCGGCCAGCCTGGTGGCGGCTGTTTGTGAGGGGTTGCTCGGGGGGCGACGCTGGGGCAGCGGGCTGTGGGCGGGAGGGGCCGAGAAGGCGGGCAGGGTCCCCGACCCCGGAGCTCACCCCGTCCCTGTGTTTGGCACAGAGGCGTCTGAAGCCCGGGGAGGCTGGGAGGAGGTCTCCCGCACGGCAGCCTTTCCTGCCCCCTCCGCTGTCCGGGCGGGCCCTGGCGCCAGTGGGTGACAGCCGCCGGCCTTCTTTTGGGTCCTCAAATTGGCGATCCGTGGTCTCGTACCTTCACACGCTGAGGCCACGGTCACCGGGAGCACAGGCCCGGGGAGAGGCGCCGGCCGGGCCGTTTGACCTTCCGGGGGGGCCCGCGCTGCTGGCCCTTCCCAGCCGCAGTGTGGTGGGGCCGCTGCCGCCGAGCAGCCAGGCTGGCAGCGTCCCGTAAGGAGCTGTGCTGTGGTGTGAGCGCCCTGGACTCCAGGGTCCCTCGGTTCTCTCTCACTCGCAGAAGGTTTTGGGTGAGTGGGGAAGACCCAGAACCTGGATCTGCGTATCTAGTCCACGTAGCTGTCTTACCTTATATAGAAGAGTTTGATTCTGGCTTTTTCTGTGACCTTCTGGGCAGGGGATGACCTGCGTAGCTTTCCATCCCTGTTAATACTGGTGGACAGCATTATTTAATGACCCGTAGTTGGTAGAGACTCGTATCTAAGGGGAGGGCTTGAAACGTAGCTTACATAACCCCTTCCTGTGGGACAGTCCAGGTCGTTTCTATTTTTTCACTCTTACGAAGCTTCGATGAGTATCCTCCTGCGTGTGTCATTTTACAGTTACGAGATTAGGCCCTTAGGGTAAATTCTGCTGCTCTTGTCTCGCACCCACCTGCTCTCAGGTGCTGGTGTTCTTGTAGCCGGGCTCTTACTCCTTTTTGTTGGAAATTCCTGGTCTTAGCTGAGGCAGTTGGTCAAATTCAGTGTTTCATCTAGGAGGATTGCACGGCCAGCTGTGTTGTGCGACCTGTCTGTGGTGAGTCACTTACGACCAGAGAATAAGCCCCGTCATCCACACCCCCGGCGTCTGTGCTGCCTGGGAAGCTTTGCAGGCACCATGGTGTGCGGGTACGGATGGACTGGGGAATGACCAGGATGGGCCGTCGGTGTTGCTCTGCCACTACGTGACCCGTGAGCTTGGTGGAGTGGCTCCCAGAGTCCTGGCCTGTGTGCTGGGCTCCCCCGTGGTCCTGCAGGGGCCGCTCTCACTAACCCACACGGGTGGGACCTTCTTGCGTGCCCTTCCCTCTGCCTGGAATCCCCTTTCTCCCTGTCCTTGAAGGGCAGGCCTCCCGACCTTCACGTCTCAGCTTTAAAGTGACCTCGATGGAGGGGCCGTCCCTAATTCCTTCCCCAGCTCGCTCGAGACCCCCATTCTCTGATAACAGGCGCTCAGCACTTCTCCACTGTGGATCTTACGACTGTAATTATGTGTTTTATTTGTGCATTTGCTTCATGGGCCTCTCTTCTACTTCCCCCCGGTTCTCAGCACCTCACCTGCAGGATGGCGGGCGCTAGGTAAATACTTGTTGACTCAATCAGTGTATCATCTTTTCTGAGAACGCGGACCCGTCCGTTGGGGTTCCCTCGTGTGCGGTGTGGAGAGCAGGTTTGCCCCTGGGCTGCGGTGGGGAGGAAGCGGCCGTGCGGGGCTGCCTTTGCTGGTGGGGTGGCTGCGGCGGTGGTTGGGGTGCTCGGGCTTGGGGTGGGGGCGCGGGAGAGCGAGCAGTAGTGCGGGCCGGGCGGGCCGCGCAGGGGAGCCGGGGCTGCTGTGCTCACACGGGCCTGCGGGTGGCTGGCGGCCGGGGGGTGCTCAGCACCCAGGGCAGGGGGCACGCGTGCTAAGGGCTCAGCCCGGCCCCCTGCTCCCGATAGAGCGCCGTGTGTTCTCACCCTCCGGGACCCGGCTAGGCACCGGGCCGGGCAGTGTCCATGTGCACAATCTTTTTGAAGGCCATTTAGAAAGAGAATTGGATGGTCGTAAACACGGTAT